CCACTTAAGAAATTCTAGCAAAAATGGAATGCTTTCTTCAAATATGACTTGTTCTTTGCCTGCATTTGCTCCGTGTGACTAACATACTGTTAAGTATTCACATATCCTTTGTGTTCTAATCAGTTATAGAATTTTGCCAGTGATTCATTTTAATTACACGGTCTTTACACCACCTTTGTCTCCCTCTTCAAAATTACATTTGCATGCTGTTCTTTTACTCACTAGGACTTTTCAAAGGTGATCCTTTGATCATACATGAAGTTCTTTCTGTATCCTGGGATACAGAAAGCCCTGAATTCGGGGAACTCTATTTTTGAGAGTAACTCCTTACTTTTTCATCTTCTCACAGAGCTCATCTTTTTAAAATCATCCCTCCTTTTTCATTTTAAATATCATTCTCACTGATACAGAAAAAAATCCAACAAGAAAGAAGAGAGAGCCTACTTTGTGACAGGAATTGTTTTTAGCAATATGGGATGCATCAATGAAGACAAGAGAGAGTACATCTTGTGGAGATGTACTGTGGAGAGGGAGAAAGTAAAGAATACCATATATGTGTTTTACATAGAGTCTCACCATGTAGAGAATTTTAGATTATAAATAATGCTAGGAGTTTGTCATCACCATGGGTTGGGGGGAGAAACCAGCAGGGACTGAGGTTCAGGATGCTGAGGAATGGATTAGAATTAACTGCAAGTTCAATAATTCTTTTATTTTCTCTATCATTGGTCATGTCCCCTAGCAGTATTCCATTCTTTCCTTGTCAATAAGACACTACTTCAAGAAAAAAAAAATCTTTTTTTTTTCTTTTGGTGTGTTTGGTAAGCCTCTTCTCATTCTGTGCCTTCTAAGAAGTCTCGAAGATTACAGAAATCTTGTTTACTGAACTCTGGTTCTTGCTTCTCATTCCCTTCTTAAAATTGGATCTATTCAGCAGGGTTAGCTGAAGCTGTGAAGCTACATCTGTTTCTTCACATTTATCACCTTTTTCTCCCTCCTTGGAATTACTCTCAAGGCTGAACTATTTTTTGGTGTCTTGTTCATATTTCTGTCTTAAAAATATAGTTTCAGGCAATATTATTTCTGTGTTTTTTGAAGTGTAAAAATGCTTTTGAGAAGTTTAGAGAACTACTCTATGAAAGATATTCACTTTTGTTATATTAACACACTTTAAAAAAAGATTTATTTGAGAGAGAGAGAGAGAGAGAGAGAGAGAGAGAGAGAAAGGGAATGAGTGAGTGGGAGGAGGGGCAGAGGGAGATAATCCCAAGCAGACTCTCTGCTGAGCATGGAGCCCAATATGAGGCTTGATTTCATGACCCTGAGATCACGACCTGAGCTGAAACTAAGGGTCAAGTGCTCAACCGACTGAGCCACTCAGGTGCCCCAATATTAATAGATTTAAAAAATTTTATTTATTTATTTGAGAGACAGAGAGCTAGGAATTTTATTTATTTATTTGAGAGACAGAAAGCATAAGCGGTGGAGGTGGGTGGTGGGGGATGAGAATCAGAGTCCTTGCTGAGCAGGAAGCCTGACTTGGGGCTTGATCCCAGGACCTCGGGATCATGACCTTAGCCTAAGGCAGATGCTTAACCCACTGAGCCACTCAGGGGCCCTATTAACATATTCTTAAAACACATTAGGCACTTTAAAGCTTTTGAAATGTCCAACTAGCAAGTTTTACATTTTTAGTCATATTAATTGTAAAATAGCAATTTTCATCTACTTCTTCCTGAAGTTGGCATTGTCAGAAGCCAAGTAAAAAAACTTACTATGATGCTTTGCTTTTCTATGAATGAAAATTAAGTACCCAAAATTCCTTATCGTTGCTAATTTTGCCTCTCTGTAATATTGTAATGGCAATAAGAGAGCAGCCTTCACTCAGCCAGAAAAAAATTTAACTTTTTTTTGACAACAATTTTACTACTGCTATTTTTCTCCTTCTACATTTCTTTAACTCCTCCATCCCTTAATTCTAAGAAAGTGTATATATCATCCATCCACCCATCCACCCATCCAGCCATGTCCGTCCATCCATCCATCCATCCATCCATCCATCCATCCATCCATATGTCCATTCATCCAGCCAGCCAACCAGCCAGTCAGCCAGCTATATGTCCATCCATATATCCATTGATCGATCCATCCATCCAACCACTCATCCATCCATATGTCCATCCATCCATCTACCCACCCACCCATCCATATGTCCATCTGTCCATCCATCCATCCATCCATCCATCCATCCATCCATCCATCCATCCATCCATATGTCTATTCAGCCAGCCAGCCAGCCAGCCAGCAAGCCAGCTATGTGTCCATCCATATGTCCATTGATCGATCCATCCATCCAACCACCCAACCATCCTTATGTCCATCCATCCATCTACCCACCCACCCGTCCATATGTCCATCTGTCCATCCATTCATCCATCCATATGTCCACTCATCCATATGTCCATCCATCTACCCATCCATCCATATGTCCACCCATCCATCCAGTCATCCAGCCAGCCAGCATCCATTTACTGAGTGTCTACTGAAAGTTTGATACTTCTGGGCCCCAGGGATACAAAAGGGAACAAACCATCCTACCAGGTCTCTCTGTAAGAAGGCTTCCCAGGTGCCTGTTCTTTGCCCAGTGAGAAGCAGCTGTTGCTTGTTTTCAGGAAGGCCTCCCGAATCTTCTGTAACCTTAGACTCCTATTTGGTGTGTGATGCTAGTCTGGCAGCTTATTTCATCACCAGCCTCTCGAGACTTGTTTTGATCCCCCCCCCCCCCCGCCACTTCCCCTTAAAATCTCCTTCTTTCTGGATTCCTCTCCACCGCCATCGCCTAACCTTTTCTATCTTGGAAGCCATCATTTCTTCTAATAAGCTCAGGGCTGGAGAAGCACACTGTTCCCCCACTTCCCCCACAGAGGTGCCCACTTACATTTATAGTTTTAGGTGGCAAGTCTCACCGTAGCACAGAGCCAGTATGTCAGAGGGATAGAGGTTACATGATTCAGGGCACACGACTCAAAGTTCAATATTTCAGATGAATTTATATGTATCTCCACTCTTTCAAAAAGGAACAGCAAGAGTTTTCAGTGCAGCCACAAGAAAGTGCCTTACGAAATTAGAAGGCCATGAAGGTGAAATTTCAAAGGTGAGTTGCTTTCTCATTGGGAGAAATTCATTTAATTTTAAAAACCTAGCATGCTTAGTGCAAATAGGTCTGTTGACACTAGGGCCTGTCCAATTATCTCAGCCTTTCTAGAAATCAGTTACCTAAGAACTATATTTTCAGGTGTGAGGTCAGACTTATTATAATAAATGATTCCTAAAACCTTTTAAAAAGTATAAAACAGCATTTTTCTCAGCCATCAGCAAAAGACTGAGTTAGCTGAAAATACCTATTAAAGCTATTTAAGAAACATATGAAGTGCTTTTCCTGGTCCTAGCAGACACACAAGTATACATTATGCAAAAAACATGCTGTGCAGCAAGTATCAAATGTTTTGTAAGTTAGATGCAATTTAGAAAGTATTTTTTTTGGAAATATTTAACACTTAACAGAGTTTAAAATGACCTACTTTGAAACTTCAAAGCTGTAACTTTTAGGATTTTGTATAAGCTCCTCCCACAAGCTGATTCACTGAGCAGAGCCTTCTCATCAGTGATCTGAAGTTTAGCTGTGTCCTCTGAAAACTGGAGAGGCCAAGACTTGGTGACTCTCAGCTCCTACCCAGCTAGCCCAGTCCCCTGGTCTCACATATGAGATCAGATTTGCTCCTTTATTTTAAAGTGTCAGTTTGATTCCTTCTGGTCTCAGAAGGCTGCCCCTGGACCCTGGAACTGCCCTGTGCTGTGCTCTGCTTCCGCCCTCCTTCCTTTGCACCTGCTAAAGGTCAGGAGCTCCTGCCCTTTAAGATTGGTCTCTGAGGCTGCACAGAGCACATCTTCCCCATAGGCTAGGAGGCCTTAGGGACCGGCATGAAGGGGGAAGACAGGGAAATGTGGATGTGGGAGACAGTCTGGGAAGAGAGCCCAGGCCATGCTTCTGAGTGACCGGTCTAGTAGCCATTGACATGCATGATGTGTCCCACTCAACAAATACACATACGTTTGTGTCTGTGTGAATATAAAGAGTTCCCAAACTATGTTATTGCATTTTAAGCTTCTGTGATATGTTACTTATTGAATACCATTCAGCAATGGCATTTCTATGGGATACAAAGTTAAAACATTCATTCATTCATTCATTCATTCACTCATTCAACAAATGCTTTTTGAGAGCTTTTACTGTGCTAGGCATTGTACTGGGGACACAGGGACAAAAAAAAGCCATACCCTTAAGTCTTGCCCTTATCAAACCTGCAGTCATAGAGGATGTAACCCAAATCATTGTCTAATGATGATTTAGAGAGGGTTATAAGCATGGCACCCAAAGGAATAGTGAACTAACCATTTCCTTTGACAGTCGCTCAGATACCATTTGACAACGCTTGGCACATAGGAAGCACTCAGAACATATTTATACAATGTGATTTGGAGTGGCAGTAGAATGAAAGTCCCCCCTGACTTGTTCACTCATTCTGTGGCACAGATTGACAGAGGATCCATATGCTTTTGATTACAGGAAGTTGGCTTATAGGGGGCGCTTGGGTTTGAAGGAGCCTAACTTGTGTTCCCACCCACACCAGGGCTCTGCCTCTCAGTTTGCAGGGAGAGACTCACATCCTGAGTCTTTGGAAAGAAGCTAGGTGGGGAGTACTCGAATTAGAAGGGAGCTGTGGTCTCTATCCTTAGAACTGTGGGGTGAGGGGGACAGTGGCCAATTAGACTCTTCTGGCTAGACTTTAATTTTCCTGTATTGGTTCCTGTACTTCTTTCCCCCCTCAGGGAGGAACTGTTCTATGTAAGAATAAATGCCAAGCTGGGAAGATGACAAGTGCTTAGTAATGTCCCCTTTTTGCAGATTAAAAATATATCAGGAATCAAATTACACAAACCTGTCATTTTTCCTTTCCCTCTTGTAGATTTCTTTCAACCCCCAAGGGAATCGTCTTCTGACTGGCAGCGCTGACGAAACAGCTAGAATCTGGGATGCTCAGACTGGTCAGTGCCTCCAGGTTCTTGAGGGGCACACGGATGAGATCTTTTCATGTGCTTTCAACTATAAAGGCGACATAATCATTACAGGTATGGGAGAGAGAAACACATAGACTTGGTTTTCTTTTTAAATGGGTTATTAGGGATCCCTGGGTGGCGCAGCAGTTTGGTGCCTGCCTTTGGCCCAGGGTGTGATCCTGGAGACCCGGGATCGAATCCCATGTCAGGCTCCTGGTGCATGGAGCCTGCTTCTCCCTCTGCCTGTGTCTCTGCCTCTCTATCTTTCTGTGTGACTATCATAAATAATAAATAAAAAAAATCAAAAAAATAAATAAATGGGTTATTAGACAAAAAAAAATTGGCTATTAGACCCCCCCAAAAAAATTGGCTCTTAGAGTTTCTAAGCTGAGTATCAGAAGGATTTTACTGCCCTCCCTTCCCTCTCTCCTGGGGTCCCTGGCTCATGCCCGTGCTTGTTACACCCACTGTTTAATTTTAGTTGCATGTGGAGCTGCACGTGTAAGCTTTGACTGTAAGGCCTGGTGAATTTTGAATTTTAGTTGCTCTTGACAAAGTAAGAATTCAGTAGCCTGCCTTACCGGTTTACCGCATTTCCCCAGGCATTGTCTGAGGAATGTTTAATATTCATTTGTTTTCAGTGTTAGTAACTCAAAGATGTTAGGCCCCAAGTTCTGTACGCTTGGACTTACAGCTCATGAGAGATTTATTCTTTGAGCTATGTTGTTTTCTCCTTGGATGCCCCTTGCTAACACATTAATATTTGGGGAGAAGAGAACATCTATTGAGCATTTTTCAACCATGAACAATCTACTGTGAATTAATTATATTAGAAATGTTTTGTAAGGACTGGAATGAGAAAAGGTTAACTCTGATTGTGGAAAGTGACGAGAATATGGTGTGATATTAGTACGGTGCCTCCAGAGGGGGACCTGGCAGGGAGTGGGTGTTATAGTGACGTGGGCTAGGGGCATCCTAAGGGGGCACACAGGACCAAATCTGCCTAACTCCCAGTGATTATTGTGGTGTTGAGCAATTTCCAAATTGCTTAACTGGTCTAATAAGTTAAATGTCACATGTGCCAGGTTGGCTTTCTATATTGGCCGATTGAGGAGCTTCCTAGTCATCTAAACTTCAGGGTGCTGAGAATAATCTCTTTTTGCCCTAAGAGCCTCATCTTTCTATTTAATTGTGGATAATTTCTCAAATTATGGATTATTTTCTGGAGTTTGTGATTTGGTAGTGTCTCTAAAATGTAAGTACTCTCAAGGCAATACCACAATGACCCATATATTTTATTGTGAGCACAATGTCAAATCCTTTCCCATGACGAGGAAAAAAAAGAGGTGAGAGGTGGTGATAGGAGCACAAGAAGCTCATGCAGGAGGCTATGGCCAAGTAAGGAAAAGGAAGCTAGGGTTGCTTTGTCAGAACACCAGCCTTTTCTGGTCTTCATGGCTCATATTAGACCAGTTGCATGGTACCTCTTCCCTGAGCCACAGGAGATCCTAGAGACTTTAGGGAAGGAACATTGTCTGTGCCTTGTTTTGGTGCTGGCTGAGCTCTTTATGACACTACTGATTTCGTGTCTCCCAAAGCCCCGAAGTGCTAAATACTGGCCACTGGATGGTGGAGCTTACTAGAAGGGGGTGACACTTCTTCTGTCTTGCCATCAGCAGAGCAATCATGTTGTCCAAACGGATCTACCCCCCTTTTCTTGATGGACCCAGGAGTGGTTAATTGCATGATTTTTAGTGGACTGCCTAAAGTTGGGGCTGGAATCACAAAATGGAAGGAACACGGCCAGCATGGTCATTACATTTTTTAGAAGATAGGGTAACTTTTGGTGGAATGGATAGTTTTCACAGGCTCTCCCTATCCATGTAATCAACATACTTATTATATTGATGTTATGTGTCTGACTCCTGAAGGTCAGAGAACCAGCAGTGCTCGGCACTGCTCCATACCCGAGTGGTCATTTCCAAAAGCAGAATGAATGTGAATGGCGCCCTTGGGCAACACTCTATCAGAGCTTCTTTGGAAGAGTATCTATCATAGCAGTGGGGGTGATGGGAGAATGCACATTTCACATTTTACCAACAATGAGAAAAATCTGTTGACATTTTGAAATGTTCTGAAGCAGAATATGCTGTCTCCTCAGAAGTTAATCACCCAGATCCGGAAATGTTCGAATTCACGGTCTTTCCACTTGACCGCGTTGTCTGAGGGGAGGACAGAGGGAATAGGCTGGAGCGGCTGCATTCTCAGGGCTCAAATTCTGAGATGCCATGAGTCTCACTCCTGTGAGTAAAACATTCACTTGCACAACTGATGACTCACAGGAATCAGTAAAAAAAAAAAAAAAATCTCACCCCCAAAATGCCAGAGTGGCTCAGTCTCCACAGCTGAGCACATTGAGTATATTGATCATCGATTGTCAATGGTCCAGAAAAAATGTCAACTTGTAAGTAAAAAGGGAGAGTTAGTGATTGAAATAAAGAAAAAATGACTTTGTGAAATTTGTTTTATTAGGTAGCAAGGATAATACATGTAGGATATGGCGCTGACCGAAGAAAAAGGCAGTTGATGAGCAGATTTGCCAGCAACGGAGGTCAAGACCTGGAGTTTTACAGAGAGCCAGAGAGCGAACCATTTTGATATTTCATGTTTTCTCTTTTTCCACAAATCAACTATTTCTACACTGTCCTTAGCTTCACAGATATGACCATTAAAACTGATAAAGTTATATCATTTCTTGAAATTATTTGTTGGAAATGACAGGAAAGAGCATAATGTTTGGCAAGTGTCACTGGTCCTTTCAATTTTGTTTTTATTTTTAGTAGCATCGTGCTAGGGACAAAGGAAACCAGAGTGACTTAACAGTGTTAAGTCTAAGAACATACAATATTTGTATTTTCTCTGACTTATTTTAGCATAATCTCCTAGATTCCACTTTGAAGGCTATTATAATTTCTGTTGACTAAAGTTCTTGGAAGTAGTTTTTAGTGACTTGTACCTCTAATTTATGATGTATGTTTCTCTTTTCTTGAGAGCTTTTACAATCTAGTCTCTTAGCAACTTTCAAATATATAATACAGTATTATGAACCATAGTCACCATGTTGTACATGACATCCTCAAGGCTTGTTTATTAGTTTGTACCTTTTGACAAACTTCACCCATGTGGCCCATCCCCCAACACTCTGCCTCTGGCAACCACTGATCTGGGAGTTCAGAGAGGGTTTTTTTTTTTCTTTCTGTTTTTACTTTTTAGGTTCCACAAATGAGTGAGAACATACAGTATTTGTTACTTCTCTGTCTGACTTAGCATAATGTCCTCAAGGCCCATCCAGGTTGTTGCAGATGTTAAGATTTCCTTCTTTTATATAGCTGAGCAATATTCCATTCTATTTATACACTTCATTGTTTTGATCCATTCATCCGTTGATGGGCACTTAGGTTGTTTCCATATCTTGACTATTGGAAATAATGTTGCAATGAATATGCGGGCACATACCTCTTTTCCAGTTAGTGTTTTCATTTTCTTTGGGAAATACCCAGAAGTGGAACTGCTGAATCATATGGTAGTTCTATTTTCATTTTTTTTTGAGGAAACTCCATACTACATAGTGGCTGCACCAGTTTGGAATTTGACCAAAAGTTGTATTACTTCTTTAGTGATTTTGCTTTGTGCAGCCAAGAATGAGAAAGGCAAAATTGGAAGCCTAATCTTCCTTCCCTCATATTTGAAAGTATATCTATACCTCCTTCCCCCAGAAAAAAAGTTGATGGCCTTCATTAAGTAAAATGAGGGTAGCATATAGGGAAAGCAAAATGGATCTCACTTATTAGCAAATATATTCTGGATTCATAGTGGATGTAAAATATATGGGCAGATTTTTCTCCAGAAGAGAAAACAAAATAGACCCTCAGACTAATGGACTAAAAAATCTGGATGGAAAACAATTGAGGGAAAATCATCAAACACCAACTCAATTGCTACTGAAATACTAAAAACTATTTTTAAAAGGCTTTACTATGTTAAAGTGCTGTAATGCATATTAAAATTATTGTTAAAAGATAAAGCACAATATAAAGCCAGTGATACCTGAACCTAGAGCAGGAGAATGGATGAGAATCTTCTGGAGTCATTTTTGTAATAATAACAACAGTGGTCACTCCACTTGGATCACCCATACAAGCAACCCTCCCACCACCTGTTTCTGAGCAGCAGCAGTCCTGATCTGAAAAGGAGGAAGGTAAGTCACACTGAAGTGAAATAATCTATCAACAACATCACATGTTAGTGATTCTGGCTCCATTACCCTCCATACTTAATAAACAATGATGGGGGAAGAACATCAGATGAATCAGTAGGAAGGTTGGGACTGAGAATTACCCCTCAGATCATCTGTGGATACCTAACACCCAAGACAAAAAATAAAAGGAAAACAAAAGAAAACTTTCAGTGCAGATTTTGAAAGGGGAATATTCAGAGATGGTGAAGCCAAGGAGAGCTTGGATTAGAGAAACCTGGGACAAAATTGAGCTATTTATGAAACCAAGAAGAATAAGCTGACATTGTCTCTTCTCTCTGATTGTTTGATGGCTTAAGGGATGGAGGTAAGACTATTTTGTTGTATCATTCAAAAGAGAGAGCCAGTGTTTGGTCATGGAGATCATTCCCTACTTCACTGACTTATTTAGCTGTAGGAAGCCCCTCAGTCAGAAAAGGTTCCTCTAATTTTTTTCCTACTTTCCTCTAATATTAAAGTTTCCAGTAGCATTTTTTTTGAGAGACAGAGAGAGAAAGAGCACATGTGCCTTAGCTGGGGGGAAGGACAGGGGGAGAGGGAGAAGGAATCTCAACCAGCCTCCACTCCCAGCGTGGAGCCCGAGGTGGGACTCGATCTCACTACCCTGAGATCATGACCTGAGTGGAAATCAAGAGTCAGACCAGTAGCTTAACCATCCAGTAGCACTTTTTTTATTATTGAAGTATAGTTGACACACAATGTTATATTAGTTTCAGATGAACAACATAGTGATTCAACAATTCTATACATTAGTCAGTGCTCATCATGAGAAGTGTCGTCACCATCTGTCACCATACAACACTATCACAATATTATTTACTATACTCCTTATGCTCTACTTTTCATCTTATGACTTATTTTATAACTAGAAGTTTATACTTCTTCCAGTAATGTTTTTTAAGCTACATTTTAAAAATAATGTTACATTTTTAAATGTTTGGATACCTAAGATTATAAAATAAGTGATAATACCCTCACTTTATTTTCATCTGGAGTATTGTAGGGTGTAAGTGAAGTACTTGTGGGGTCTGGAGTCAGAGAGCCTGAATATATATTCTGATTCCAGCTCTTAATTGTTGGGCAAGTGATCCCAGCATGCTGCCTTCGTTTCTTCAGCTAGAGGTGGTGATATTAATAATTCTTGTTTTGAGGATTGGGACTATCTGGCACATTACAAGCATGAAAAATATTTCCCATTATTATTATAATCATTAACTTAATGGTCATCTTAAAAAACTGTATTTGATATATGAACATATTTCTCAGGAAGGAATATAGCATTATTTACTCAGAAGTGATAGTTGAAATATAACTCACTTTAACGTATAATAGGTATCCTGGGGAGAAATCTAACTCAAATTTTCTTTTTTTTCTAACTCAAATTTTTATCAATTAATATGTAAGAGCCCTAGGAGCATTGTCCTTTTAAAAAAGATTTTTGTCTCTAACAGAGTTGCTGAGATGTGAAACTATCATCAATATAAATGATTATGGTCTAATCCATCTTCATAGATTCAGATTTAGGATAGGGTTTTAGGAAAGTGAATCGTCCTCATAAAAATGAAATATCTTTTTTAGCAACGTGTATGTAAAACTGCAGGGGCTCATGATTTAGCATAATGCCTAATTTAGAGACAAAATAAATGCTTTTTGAATGAAACAGTGCTTTTTAGACATGCAACTTTTACATTGCCATTTAAAAACACATCAATAATCTATTAAATCACAAGCAGATTACATTCTGTTTTTCCACTGCTGCTGTTATTCTTCAAACAGCTTACCTTGTTGTTTCTCCAAAGGGGAAAAATTTGTAGCAAAAAGAAAAAGCAATCACGATATTTAAAGACAAATCCCTTCTTAAACGCAATTGTAAACTGACTCAAAATATCTATAATCTCTTTAGTCATCTTACCAAGATTATTTTATTTTTTGTTCAGTTCAACTTTACTCTTATCTTGAGTAGGATGGTTTTGGCTGAAGAAGTAAAATAAACAGTTAAAGTCAGTCACAAAGTTGGTTATTTAGGGGCAAGATGACCCAAGGATGCAGAGCTTGGAGGCTTTCCTCTGTGTCATCCTTGCTGGCTTGTCCTGAGTGTGTCCTTCCACGTTGCAAGATGGCTGACATGTTTTCTTGGTTTAAGATCTTGTCATCTCTCTAATCTCATCAAATCCAGAAGAGAACTTCTCACTTCCCTTTCTATTTCCATTTACCCTAACATCTTAGCAGTTGTATCCCTACCACTGATGGCAATGATCTCATTTTTCACTCTTTATTTTCTCTCTGTGTCCACCAAATCATAAACATTTTCCTAAATTAAAAAACAAACCCTAGCTATCCAGTCTTATTGCCATTTTAATCTGTAATCTATAATCTCACTACCTCTGTACTAGATATCGAGACAATCTTCTGCTTAATTATCCTGGCTTCCTTTTGCTCTATCAGATGATTGATTTCTAAAGTAAATAGGAAAAAACAAAACCAAGAACAAAACCTTTCCAAATAGTTGCATATTTTATGGTTTCCAGGACTTTTGCCTAACTCAGATCATTTAATAAAGAGGAATGATGAAGGAATTAATAGAGCCTGAATTTAGAGTCGGTAACACATAATCCAGGAGAGGGAGAGTGGCTTCCCCAGGATCATTCAGCCAGTGGGTAGCCAGACATGAATTCAAACATAGAAAGGCTGTGTTCTTCATCTAGCCTAAAGAGGCCTTAAATAATGATGTGCTGCCTGAGTTTTTCAACACAGCTGCTGTGTGTTTTATGTACTAGCATGGATTTTTTTTTTAATTGTCTAGATTTCCTTTGAATCTCCTGAATAACTTTTAACAAATAAACATGAAGTGTGGTGCTTTTCTTCCAATTAATAAAAGTTTGAATCTGAACCTTTATTATGCATGCAATTATTTAGTGACGGGATCCCAATTCCTTGTGGCCTGGTAATCCTAAATTCCTACTTCTAGCAATTATATTGCAACACAGTACAAATGTCTATTCCAAACATTACAGATACTAATTGAAAATTAAAAACAAAAGCTTTGGGAATTAGAAAAGTGCAAGTGCTCAGATTCTTAGTATTCTTACCTGGAGAGTAGAAAAGTAGATGCAGTAATGACCTAGGAGGTCTGCTTAGTAATAGGTTGGCCTGTGTGAACCTGTAAGAGCAAGTTGTTCATTTTCATTTGGAAGTTTCTGCACTGGACAACAACAGCCAGAGTAAGACCAGGTCCCCACTCATTCTTATTGTGGAACCCATTTTACAAATGCAGGTTGTTGAAATTGTGCCAAGACAATGAAAACAAAGGTGAGGTCACAAGCATGTAAAATAGGGCTGCTCTTCTCTTAAAACATGTATTTGTTTAATTGCTTAGTAAAATTATCTAATCTCAACATAAAATTATCTATCTAGTAACAACGTAATGATATATATATATATATATATATATATATATATATATATATATATAAAACAAAGTATTTGAAAAATACTGAAGGGTTTAGAAAACTCAGAGCAAAATAAACCACAAAAGCCAAAGTAAAACATACTCCTTATGTTAAGTAAATTGGGTTAATTTTGTTTAATGAAATCAATGTTTTATTAAATGAAGATGATTAATGGATCATACTACATGGTTTTTTTTTTCTGATTCATTTAACTGCATTTCTGACTCTGGATATTTCTTTAATGGTCATTTATTACAAAGAATTTAATTTTTAAATGCAGTTTGTATCCTAGGTAGTAATTTTTGACTTACTTATACAATAACCCAGTGGAAGATCATGATTCACATTTATTTCTTTCCTCTCCCTCATATTAATTTTTTTTATTTATTTATGATAGTCACAGAGAGAGAGAGAGAGAGGCAGAGACATAGGCAGAGGGAGAAGCAGGCTCCATGCACCGGGAGCCTGACGTGGGATTCGATCCCGGGTCTCCAGGATCGCGCCCTGGGCCAAAGGCAGGCGCCAAACCGCTGCGCCACCCAGGGATCCCCTCTCCCTCATATTAGAATGAGTTTATCATTCTTAAATATGGGACAGGTCCACCTGTTGGTTAAAGGGAGTAGAGATTTTACCACAGCAAATTGTCCTCTCCACAGCTGTACTCATTCTGGTGAAATCCTGGATCCCAACTAGGTCAGATTATGGTTGGCCATGAATTCATTCACCTCTGCTATTGGCAAGCTCCATCTTTTATGATTTTTTTAAATTTAAAAATCGATGTTGATATTCCTCAAAAAGTTAAATATAAAATTACCGTATGACCCAGCAATTGCACCTCTAAGTAAATGTCCTCCCCAAAATGAAAAATGGTACTTAAGCCTATGTACCCTCATGTTCATGGTAGCACTATTTATTTTTTTTATTATTATTTATTTATGATAGTCACAGAGAGAGAGAGAGAGAGAGAGAGAGAGAGAGAGAGAGAGACAGAGAGAGAGGCAGAGGGAGAAGCAGGCTCCATGCCCCGGGAGCCCGACGTGGGATTCGATCCTGGGTCTCCAGGATCGCGCCCTGGGCCAAAGGCAGGAGCTAAACCGCTGCGCCACCCAGGGATCCCCCACGGTAGCACTATTTAGTATTCAATAACTCAAATGTCTACCAGTGGGGTGCTTGGATAAGCAAGCTGTGATATATCTTTACAATGGAGCATTATTCAGCCATAAAAAATGAATAAAGTACTGATATATGCTATCATGTAGGTACACCTACAATTTAAAACATTATGCTTATGTAAAAGAACCCAGACATGAAAGTCGTATATTGGGTAATCCCATTTATATTAAATACCAAGAATATGTAAATCCATAGAGACAGTGTATATTGCTAGTTGCCAGAGATTGGGTGAGTAAAGAGAAATGGGGAGTAGTCACTCAATGGATGCAGAGTTTTATTTTGGGGTGATAAACATGATTTGGAATTAGAGGTGGTGATTGTACAACGCTGTAAATCTACTAAATGGTAATGGATTGTTCACATTAAGATGGCTAATTTTGAGTTATGTGTATTTTACCTCAATAAAAACTTATCAAATGCTCAATCTGTTTTCACAATCTTTTGCAACTGGTAAGTGGTCAGTTTTCTTGGTTTTCCCAGCATAATATACTTGGTTCCTTGTATTTAGAGATATATTATTTAAAGGGAATCAAACATTGACCTCATGAGGAAAAAGATATAAACCATAAAGATATTTGTATTAATTCTTTAGAAAAATTCAGAGTTGGACTATACCTTTTAACAACTGTTTATTGTCTCTAAGACACCATGCTAGTTACAAACAACTTGATTAGCTTTTTTGGTAGGAAAGGAGGTTATGGAAGTTTGTAAATTTATTTTTTTTTTTAGAGCTAAGAGTATATTTTGAAGGAGTACAATTATATGTGAAATAAAAAAATGAAACCTGAAGGATGAAGTCATGACAGGAAAAATACTTTCTTATTATACCAAAATCTGGCTCAGAAAGGGGGGGATCCAGTTGGTATTTGATGCTTTTCAAATGACAAGACTCAGAAGCCTTTAAAATGTTTTCTCATAACAATTCATGGTTTGATACTTTCTGACTTTGGGGTGGTGATATGAGAGTAGTCTATGCTTGGGAATGCTACTTTTAGGAGTACCCTGCTTTCCTAGGGTGAACCTAGAGGGATTTTATAGGCTTCTGAGGACAATTAATTATGATCTCTGGAAGACTCCACCAGGGAGTTGGTATCACTTTGAGTCTTTTACCTCTTTTCCTTACCTTCCTCCACTTTCTTCCCCTTCCCTGAAGGACCCCAGTTTTTATAAGAAATTTCAAGAATGGATATTGGCTTAATACATTGAGAAGAACTGATAAAGGGGTGTGCATATTTCTGTGTGTATATTTCACAGGGCTCCTTGAATTCTGCACATAAAGGCAAAACCATCAATTTCTCTCTACTCAATTTCTTCTTGAGTTCAGAATTTCAGTTTGCATTACCTGGAGGTTAAAAATGAGTTTATGGGAATGCAAGAGCTGGAAATCCCAGAAAAGTTGTCTGGAAGCTTAAGTACAATGAAGACTAGGGTTGTTATTCATTCTACCTTTTGGGAAATGTTGGATGCATCTCTTTGGACAGAGTTGGCTTTGCTACTATTTTCTTGGGATGGTAAATATTTCTGTTTAAGATTTTATTTACTTATTTGAGACAGAACGAGATAGAGTGGAAGAAGGTACACAGTGGGGGAAGGAGAGGGAGAGGGAAAGAGTCTCAAGCAGACTTCCAAGCCTAGTGGGGGCCCCAATGTGGGCTCCATCCCATGACTCTGAGATCACAACCTGAGCCAAAACCACGTTAGAAACTCAACCCGCTGAGCCACCCAGGTGCTCCAAGACTGTGAGATCTTAATGAAGTAATTCTCTCACTAATGAAAGTAGAAAATGTTGCTGTTTTAAAAGTGCATAAGCTTGCATGCCTTTATTATCTTACCTCAGCAGGTGGCAGTGTTTATCTTTTGGCAGATGAATTGTTGCTTCAAACAAACAGTATAAAGAGTAAACTTTTTAATTCTATGTCCTTTAAAAATCCAGGTTATGTGGGGATATATAACAATGCTCAGATTTTGCTATGGTTTAAACTTAGGACCATCTTGGCATATCTGGGGCAAATGACAGATTTCATTACTCTTGATGCAGCATAGAGACATGTTTCTATCTATGAGGACTCAGACCAGTAAGGTGAATGAGAAATAGTTCTTTTTTTTCTCTATAGATCCCTCTGTGGGAAACCAGTCTTAATTATTTTAAAACAACACAATCTAGCGAAGAATCCAACATTCAGTTGTGTCTTTTTAAATGGTAATACCTGATCAGAGTATAACATGGATTCTTTTTATGTTCTAATAAAGTTTGTCATGATTTCATTGGGTTGAGAGTTTAGAAATTGTGAATACTTTGAATTTGAGTTACTTTAAAATAACCATAAATCAAGTGTCAAACTCATTTATGTGGGGTTATCAGAGACAAAAGTAGGCCTAAGACTAAATTAACCAAGGCTTCTTATTCATAAATTTGTGGCAAGGAAAGCCATCTATCACTTCCATTCCAGTAGGAGTTTAAAGTTGCAAAGGAAAGTCAGTTTCATAGAGTTAAAAAGATGAAATACTGAGTCTGTGACAAGTGTTCTATAAAAATGTGTGCTTTGGAAATGAGGCGACTTTCTAATTGGTCCTCAGATATCTGTTCTTGGTTGGCTGCAAGGGCGCAAAAAGCTTGAGGACATTTCAAAAGAAGGATTGCTCAGTGTTGTGTGGGAAGAGGTTTGTTTTCTGTTTTTTTTTTTTTTTTTTTCCCCTGTGGTGGCTATTTCCTGGAATAAATGGGAGGCAGTAGTGCTTTGTTAACATCAAACTGTCATAATATCCCTTATTTGGTGAGGTGGTTGCCACGACAGACAGTTTCTCACGAAGGAAAATATTTTGGAAATTAGAAACATGGGTTCGGGAATCAGAATGCCTGTTTTAATCTCCTGTTCAACCACTTCTTGGATGTGGGACTTTGAAAATTCAAACACCCCTTGGCTCCATTTTCTCATCTATAAAATAGGACTAATAATACTATGGGAGGAGTTTGTGAGGATTAAGTAAGTTAACTGATACATAATGAGGTTGACATATCATAGACATTCAATTAAGGGGTAGATAATATTATTTGTAGTTGCTGCCTCAATGATTTAGACTTAAAGGATTTAAGAATTGAGGGCATCTGGGTGATTCAGTGAGTAATGTGTCTTCCTTCGGCTCAGGTCATGATCCCAGGGTCCTGGATGGAGCCCCACATCGGGCTCCCTGCTCAGTGAGGAGTCTGCTTCTCCCTCTCCCTCTGCCCCCTCCCTGCTTGTTCTCTCTCTCCTCTCTCTCTTAAATAAATAAAATCTTTAAAAAATAAAGTATTTAAGAATTGAACAAGAATTTCCACACTTAAGGCAAATTTTCTTAATAATTTATTATGGTTTGAGGCATCCCTGCAACAGACAAAACCCTTCCAATTCCCCTTATCCTAAGAAATTAATAGGGAACAGAATAAATTCAGCTTAATAAACATGCTGTGTCCATGAATCAGCCCAGTTTTTCTGTATTTTTCCCCTATTTCAAAACTGTGTACTTCTATGTAAAGCCTTGTCCAGCCTGCATAGCT